TGGATGCTAGAAAAAACCAAATCGCAAGTCCCCTCCCCCAGATCTAAAAACATTTCATCCAATGTCTGCTATGGCAGATTGATTATGATGTTATTTTGCAGTTGGCACTGGGTTAACTGTTTGATATCCGAACGAAAGGAGAAGCTATTACCGCACCTTGGTTCAACTACCATGGCGATGGCCTGGATCATGTTGGATATTAAGAATCTGATAATATGATCCTTTACATTCTGGTTTACTAATTCTTAATTGGTTGATATACACAGACTGAACTGGATGATCGGAAACAACCAAACCTTAGATTCACCTCTCTAGACCTCAAGAAGTAATTTCGGCAAAAGATGTTGTGTATGTTCAGATTGATACATTACGATACGAGTCAAGTACATAGACAATTGTTTGATATACGACAAAAGGACACAGCTATCTGGTCTAACGGCTTTTACCCTATCAGTGGATCATTATCTAAAAAGGTGCTTAGGTTTGGGGAAACGCAGTTTGTTGTTTGATCGTTTCCATCTTGGACATTAACTAAGCCAGCGAGGTGAGATGGACAGGATGATCGGAAACGACAAAACCGCAGATTTATCGACGCCAGACCTCAGGAAATCATATTTGTAATGTGACTTGATGGTGTACCCCATTGGATGAATTACAGTTTGACATCCGACCTAAAGTTTATGATCGCCGATTGTTTAAACGTCCACTTATGAAGAACTGCAATGTATGACAATGTGCAACTAAATACAGCGACGTACCCAGAGGTCAAACCTTTTACCTTACAATTTGGTCGCTACGCCAAGGTATATGTTTGGTTTGCGGAAATCTTAATTGTTCTTTGCAGTTTGGCCTTCGAAATCATTCTGGTCTGCCTTTGAAACATCCTCGCTTGTTTGGTCTGCACTGTGTTGGGTATGCATAGAAAAAAACCCATCGAGTACGGACAGACCAGTATGATCGAAAATTACTACACTGAAGATTTCTCAACCATTAGAGATCTACAAGAAATCTCACAAAATGTATTTTGTTATGAGACTCGCCTATTTTTTTTATCAAATTTCCACTGATGATGGACGTCGATAGTCTGTAAATAAAGAAACAGTTTTCCCCTTAGCTTTTACTCTGGGAAAACCAGCGAGAGAAGGCGGACCAGGATGATCAGAAACTGCACATAAGGCGCATTACCACCCCGTCTTCAATAAAAAAATTAAAATGCTGTTTATAATTTGGACCTGTCTTTTCTGGTCTAATAATCTTCGCTTGTTCGGTCTTCAAGACTATTTTAGGCTGACTAGGATTATCGGAAACTGCGCGTTCACACACCCGCCCCATGGACCTATAGCCATATTGTTTACCCTCTAATCTTTAATTCAATTGTTAGCTAGGTCTGAAGGAACCCTGATCAAACGTTGTTTGTAGTTCGCTCGTTACCATTCCGGCTTTAAAATCACAATAATCTAACCAAAAATCTATGAAATCTCACTATCTAACCACAAATCTATAAAATCATAACAATCTAACTAAAATCCTATAAAATCACGGTAATCTGACCAAAACCTGTAAAAGAACAACAAGCTAATTAAAAATCTATAAAATCACAACAATCTAACCAAAAATCAATAAAATCTCGCAAGCTAACCACAAATCTACACAATCACAACAATCTAACTAAAATTCTATAAAATCACAATAATCTGACCAAAAATCTTAAAAAACACAAGCTAATGGAAATTCTATAAAATCACAACAATCTAACCAAAAATCAATAAAATCTCGCAAGCTAACCACAAATCTACACAATCACAACAATCTAACTAAAATTCTATAAAATCACAATAATCTGACCAAAAATCTTAAAAAACACAAGCTAATGGAAATTCTATAAAATCACAACAATCTAACCAAAAATCAATAAAATCTCGCAAGCTAACCACAAATCTA